GATATGAAGTCGGGATATCATCAGGTAGAGATCAAAGAAGAGCACAAACAACGAACAGCTTTCACAGTAGGACCCCTCGGATTTTACGAGTACAACAGGATGCCATTTGGACTTTCGAATGCGCCGGCAACCTACCAAAGATTAATGGAAGAATGCTTAGGAGATTTACACTATAATATTTGCTGCATTTACTTAGATGATTTGATAGTGTTTTCTAAGACCTATGAGGAGCACATAGAACGCTTGAACAGAGTGTTTGATCGTTTAAGAGATTGTGGATTGAAGTTATCACCCAAAAAGTGCCACCTTTTCCAACAGAAGGTAAGATATGTAGGATATATTGTGTCAAAGGATGGTATAGAGGCTGACCCGGAGAAAGTACAGAAGATTAAGGAATGGTCTAGACCGAGTAATCCAGAGGAAGTACGCTCATTTTTAGGATTTGCCGGATACCACCGGAAATTCATAAAAGACTTTTCGGCAATTTCCAAACCATTATCAGAGTTGATGCCTAAACCTTCCAAGTTCAAGAAGAAAATTGGAACTTCAAGTGCTACATGGAAATGGGGTGAGGAACAGGAAAGGGCATTCACGGAGCTGAGGGAAAAGTTATCAAGTCCACCCATTCTAGCCTATGCCGATTATGCAGTGCCATTCGAGTTACATACCGATGCCAGTCGTAAAGGTTTAGGTGCAGTACTTTATCAGAAACAGGATGGAAAACTTAGGGTAATTGCCTATGCCAGTAAAGGATTGACCAAGTCCGAGAAAAACTACCCTGTTCACAAACTGGAATTTCTCGCGATGAAATGGGCAATTTCGGAGAAGTTCCATGACTACTTGTATATGAATCCTTTCGTGGTACTGACTGACAACAACCCCCTCACGTATGTTCTTACCAGCGCTAAACTTGACGCTACAGGTCATCGCTGGCTGGCAGCCATATCGTCATATGATTTTTCCATAAAGTATCGCCCAGGGAAGAATAACGCGGACGCTGATGCATTATCGCGCTTACCGGTTGAGTGTACTGACGAGCCATTACAACATGTTAGTAAGGAAACCATTGCTGCACTTTGTAGTTCGTGTCAACAGCCATATGAGGAGAGTTTATCCATGTCAGCAGAAGTTGTGAATCAGCTTGATGAGGTTTCTACAGACTTAAACTCCATGACGATGAGGGATTGGAAGAAAGCTCAGCATAGAGATGTTAACCTTTCTTGTATCATGAACCATATTTTAGCAGGTACAACGCCAGTCCGTAATCAACTACCTATGCCTCGTGAGATATCTACTCTATATAAGAATTGTGATAAGTTCACTTTGAGGAATGGAGTGTTATTTCGCAGAGTCAACGTTGAAGGAGAGGAAAAGATGCAACTTGTGCTACCAACGACTTATCGTACAGAGGCCCTGAGTGGATTACATGACGACATTGGTCATCCAGGCCGTGACAGGACTACATCTTTGGTGAGAGATAGATTTTATTGGCCAGGAATGCACACTGATGTCGCAGAACATATACGTAGATGCGATAGATGTCTTCGCAGGTCTCCAGCGAATCCTAGGTCACCCATGGTCAATATCAAGACTACGCAACCCTTAGAATTGGTGTGTATGGATTTCCTGACCTTGGAACCTTCCAAGGGAGGATACAAGTATATTCTTGTCATAACTGACCATTTCACTCGATTCGCATTAGCAATACCAACTCGTAATATGTCTGCAAAGACTACAGCAGAAACATTTTATCAGCAGTTTGTTGTCCACTACGGTCTCCCACAAAGAATTCACTCAGACCAAGGAGCAAATTTCGAGGGACATATTATCCGTGAGATGTGTAATATCACTGGTATGACAAAGTCAAGAACATCGCCTTATCATCCCATGGGGAATGGACTTACGGAACTTTTAACCGTACTCTCCTAGGAATGTTAGGAACCCTTAAACCAAATGAGAAACATGATTGGAAAATCTCGTTCATGCATATAATTGCATTCGTCAGGAAACAACTGGACAGTCCCCGTTTTTCCTTATGTTTGGCCGAGAACCTAGACTGCCCATTGACTTAGCCTTTGGCTTGGAGAGAGGTAACAGTCATGAGTCTTTACCAGTTTATATTAAAGAATTGAGAGATAGAATGAAGGAATCTTTTCGGATAGCCTCAGAAGCAGCTAAAAACGCCCAGCATCGTCAAAAGGTCAACTATGATAAGAAAGTGCGCGGAGCAACAGTACAGCCAGGAGATAGAGTACTGGTGAAAATACTTGCATTCGAAGGAAAGCACAAGTTATCAGACCGCTGGGAAGAAGATGTATATATAGTGACTAGACATCCAAACGAAGGAATTCCGGTTTTTGAAGTACAGAAGGAAAACAAATCTGGTCGTAAACGGATCCTACACAGGAACCATTTGATGCCCATAGGAAGTATAACTGGGAAGAGGCTGGATAAAGTAGATGGGACACCTGTTAAAGATAGACCTGTTCCGGCGCCAAAGCGTAAGAAAATTACGGAAAGGAGCCTAGAAACAAGTCGCCAAGAAGATGAGTCCGAGGAAGAATCTGAGGACGAATCTGATTATCAGGTGACACATGTCGTTCATCGGGATGAGGTAGAAGATGATGCATCATCTGCATCATTCGGGGACCTAGCCTCGGAGGAGGATTCAAGAGAGTCCAAGACACCGGTAGACTCCATCGTTGTAGAGGATGAGCCCACTGAAGATTTGGACGATGATGGTACCACGAATCCAGAATCAGATGACGATCATGTAGAGCAGGTTACTGTACCAGAGGAGCCACGTCGTTCAGGGAGGAGAAGGCAGCAACCCGCCTGGATGTCCTCGGATACATACGTGATGGCAACTCAGGGTGTACCAGAATGGATGCAGAATATAAAGGTATTTCAGACATTGAGTTCAGATGGAACTTTTAGCAACAGTGAGCCGGTGTAGATAAGGCTATTATTCATATTTTAACGTCAAAGTGACGAGGACGTCATTTTCCGACGGGGGGAAGTATGTAGTAGACTGTATTTTGAATTTTATTTATTTCGTTTATTATGTAATGCACACATGGTTTTATATATCATATATATATATGTATATATATATATATATATATTAGCTATGTGTATAGACACCTGTAACACCTGTATGTACCCTGAGGCAAAACCCGGACCAGGTGAGTATATGTTCTTGTACATTGTAAATGTCGTTGTGCTGTGCCGGTTCTGTCCAGTTCTGTCCAGTGTTGGTCATGTGCACCTGTCTAAAACCTGTTTGTCCTTATTGTCTATTTATAAAGTTAATTCTGTTGGATAGTTTGTAGGTGTGTCTGTATGTTGTAATTTTATTGGTCCTGGGGTGATAAGTGTAGGGATAATATTCTGGGTATTTGCCGCCAAAAAATCAGTACAAGAGAAAGCCTTCAAGGGAACAGGTGTTTGTTTGCCTGCTGTTCATAGCATATTTGAGAAGCCATTTGTTAAAGAAAAGGTATGTCTAATTTAAATTATTGATAGTGCTAGTTTTTATTTTAAAAGCATTTATATGATTAAATGAAGTCTATTTGGTTAAAAGTAAATTTCATTGTGCTTACACTGAAACTTGTGATAAACTTGAATATTACTATTGTTACAATTCGTTAATTTTATTTTTTAGAGATTTATACTGAATAGGATAAGAGAACCTGTGTTTGTGATAGCCTCCATTCCATAGATGGGGTATGTGTGTTCATGTTAAACTGTGTGTTCATATTATGCGTATTTTTGTAAAACACGTATTTTTCTTATGAAGTATCTTTAATTTTGATTCTAAGTAAATCTGAAATTGATAAAATAATTATTATAAATTTCATTTATAATTAGAAGTTAATTTCCATTTTACTATAAAAAGTAATTACTAAATAAGTGGTTAAATGTATGTTACATAAGTGTAAAGTAAGTCTTTGTTACAGTTACAAAGATAGAGGAATAGATATGTATTGTTCTGTGATATTTTTTATGTCTAATGTCTAAGAAGTATTTGTATGTGTATTTGTAGGGTCCAGACAAAAGTCTGGCCTAAGGGTCACTGGATCGAGGAATAAATTTGAAACGAACCCAGATGTGACTTGTTTTGTTTGCCACCCTCAAAGAGGAAAATGAGTCCGTTACATATCGCTGAGCTATGATATGAACATCCGCTGGTGTCATAAATCGCTCTACTATTATATAAACATTTGCTGTTGTCATATATCGCTCTGCTATTATATAAACATGTGCTGTTGTCGTATATCGCTCTGCTATTATATAAGCATGTGCTGTTGTCATACAGCGCTCTGCTATTATATAAGCATGTGCTGTTGTCATATATCGCTCTGCTATTATATAAAAATGCGCTGGTGTCATGCATCGATGTAGTTTAATAGAAACGTTTTTTTCATTTATATACTCGGATAAAACGGAATTACATAAGTGTACCACAATAACTGTTCAACGTGATATTTCGTGAGTTTATAATGTGCCATTCTTCTGTACCACTGTGTAAGTTATTATAACCAAACGTCCCGTTAAAATAACCGAAATATGCAAGTGATACAACCAAACGTCCCGTTAAAATAACCGAAATATACAAGTGATACAACCGTTAATGTAATCAAACGTCCAGTTCATTTTAACAAATTCAAATTTTACAGAGAATCAATGTGGGGAAACAAGTGTGTTTCTATTTTGATGAAATATTCTTGGCCTCAAAGACGTAGACATTTCTTTAAATCGTTGAACCTATCTTCATTGAGAGTGGTCACCCTTTGGTGAACTCGGTTGGTACGTGTACAGCTAAACCCGGTATGAAACAAGGGAAATCCGATTTATTAAACGCTTGTACTTTTGAAGTATCACAAAAAATCAATGATAACAGTGTTTAAGCACCTATTGTTTTACCTCATATTTATAACAGCATGCCTGATTGGATGATATTGATCACATGACGGGGCAATATCTCTAGTTTTCCCTTATTCGGAGCCTCCCTAGAAAAATCAGTAAGAGTCATCACAACCATGTTCCGAATGGCTGAAGCAGACGACAAAAATGACGCGACAACCTTATCATCTTTTCCATATTTAACATTAGATAACTGTTTTATTTCGGCACAATAAAATATGTGATGCCCTTTTGACAGGGGAACATGATTCTTTGTTTCCTTTCAATTTATTACGTTTAACACGGGTTCCGCCGTCGTAAAAAATTATTACTCTCGGTAAAACAAAGAATGGTATTTCCCTACAACAAGGGCTAGGCCTCGGAGACGGAATTTGCCATCACATACTGAAATATATCGTATTTTACATCTGATTTCGACTTCCGTTGTAATAAGTAAGAGTTATGCGTCTTTGACGCACATAGACATATACATCATTTAATTATCGACAGATAAGAAATTACCTAATAGATTGAGCAGCATCAGTCTGGATTCAGACCAGGCCACTCGACTTTGTATTCGTTTATTTGAATACATCATAACATGCGCTAAATGCGTTAAAGGAACGCTCACATTCTCGTTTAAATTCCAAGGCTTTTGACACAGTAGTCTGTTAATAAATTAAAGGATTATGGTTTATAGAGAATATAAGTTATCGCAAAGAAAACAATCCGATCTTGTAAACAATTAAGCAACTGATCTTTTTCTATTGATTCGAGTTAGTGACATGGAAACCTCAAGGTTCCAAATTAGGACCTCTGTAGTTTTCTCTCCCAGTATAATTGACGTATGGGACGTATTGGAATCTTCCAGATGACACGTGAGTATAGAAACTCGTTACGCTCTAAATCGCAATCTATAAAATGTCGATATGTGGGGGGAAAACAGTTCTTAATTACTGAAAATCCTTTGCTGCATATAAACACACATTACAAACATACAAAACAAGAATATACAGGCAGTTACACCACAAACAGCAGATTACTTATTTAAATTTGACGAATTTTATGAGTTATCCTTTTTCATTGATTTGATTGATGACACTTACCGTCCTTGTTCCGAATACAACCGAGCCCTCAGACTTATAGTTATTTAAGCCTAGGACTTCTATAGTTCTTTTTTAACCATTTTCAAAACACTTGGATTTTTGGAGTAATATTTCTTAATGTACTGATTTCTGATATCATTGCAACATTGATATTTTGATATAAGATGGCATTCCTCCCCAATATCCCCGTTGTTACCGGATGTAGATACTGTGTGATTGCTCTCTACATGATTATCGACAAACTTCTACTGAGTCTTTGGGATGACAATGGACAACATTATGGTTTCATTAAATATTTCTGTGAACAAAAAAATACACGCATACAGTTATTTTTATATAAAGAATAGTTCAGATATCAATCTCTTTTCTTTACTAATATGACAGACTACTCAACGCTAAAAATAAATGGGAACCTCAACAGGGGAGACAACTCCGATGGAAGCCCTTTGATATTGGAGACAGAATAGATAAGGGGTGTTTAATGAGGTTTTGGAGAATTTGGTTTGGTTTGGTTCGGTTTAATTTTGTTTAACGTCCTATTAACAGCTAAGGTCATTTACGTACGTGTTTTGGAGAAATTTAAGCAAATAAAATTCGAGGATGTGTAAGAAGTTTTAATAAAAAGGAGGCAAGTGATGATGGAACTGTACATGTATATGTTACTTGTTCATAAATGTATATCACAAATTGTAGAGGTCAATTATAGAGCTACAAGTCGTGTGCCCTCCCTAGAGAAAAAGTTTACACCTGTACTAAATAATCGTTTGAATAAGTTTGCTGATGAATTTAACTCTATCAGTGGTGACCAACCTGGGTAAATGACCAGCCACTATACAACAGATGACATTCTACAACGACTCTGATATCAGGCTTATTTTACATGTACTTCATTGATTTAAAAAGGCTTTCGATGCGGTAAGGTGAGTAGAATTAGGGGAACTATAATCTTGTTAAGAAACGGTAATGAAAAATCAAACCTTTTAAAATAAATGCAGTATCACTTTCCACTTGGTAATGAAGAATTAGAAATGTTGTAACCCTTCCCATATATAGGTGTTTTATAAACTGTAATGGCATTTTTCAAAATCCTGAAGGGTAAACTGGCAGAACAAGCCTATAAGGTTTGTTTATTGTTTACAAATAGATAAGAAACATATGATTACCAGTAGACTTTCTTATTCGCTGTTGTAGATCATTCTTCTTTATCAGTAGGAGCACGGTGGTTCCAAAATATATCATTGCGAAAATTCACCTGCTATTTTGTAAACGCATTTTAAACTTTGGATCTAGTACAGCCAATTGTATTGGGCGATAACGTTGCGATATAAACAGTAAACCTATTCTACATACATCTATGTAGTTTGTGTCTTATGTTATTTGACAATTCACTCCCTTTTCAACCAATTCTACAAGCACACATGTTAACATTGTACAACTATCTTAATATTTAATTTCAACTGTTATTTAAGCATTCTTTATTTTCTAATAATACCCAGGGTAATCTTCCTAGTTTCTAGTAAATCGTAAAATAGGCTGTGCTTTTCAACACCTTATAGCGTTAAACCAATGTCATTTCTGCTTTATGAAATCCCTACACTTCACTTCCATAATGCAAATACTACCAACGTATGTTCGAACACAAAGACTTGTGTTTCAATATTAAAAATACGATGATATCTGAATTAGTTTCGCGGAAAGAAAGAAAATTACATAGATCTACCTATTAGAATATTCCTTTCACAGTCGTTTACTTATAAAGGAAACAATATAATAGAGGCGACAAAATTTCACCTTGAAATAATCCACTACTTAAAAATGTTGATTAATGTACTAGACACACCATGTTAACACAATTACACATGTACAATGTACATGTACGGATCATAGACTGTTTTGTACGTACTACGTTCTCTTTGGTCAGTTTCAACCATTGGCTTTGCTTGTTAATAAAGGAGCTTTGTATAGCCAATGAAATATAGTTTTGAAGTCGTCGGTAAAAACCATACTCCTTGATTCGGTACTTCTTACTAGTAACTCAGCGCCAATAACACATAATCAGTTAGTCGGCAGAAATTATTAATACTCTTGAAGTTGACGAAAATAACCCATACTTCCTAAACGTAATAAAGATTGTTTCAAACCTTTAACTGTCACACTGTTTGTTTAATGTCTTTTCTTCTAAGTAAGAAAACTGTTGACAAGTCCGGAGTTGAAACTACATGTACCGTCAACGAGCTGTTTCATATCACAAGTCCCTATATACAATAGGAAGTACCCCAACATACTGTTTATATAGACAGTAGGAGGAACCCCAAAATACTATTTATATATACGATAGGAGGAAATAGGACGGACATCGACATACATGTAGTGTTTTGATTTCGTTTTTAAAAAATGGTGCGTGCGACGACTATGCATTCTGTTTTGGACTATAGGAATACATTCACAATATAGAAATACTTTTTGTCGTATGAATTCTAAAGGTCGTCATAAAATGTTAATATGCTGACAAAAAATATTAATTTGAAGAGTAAGGTACTGCAAAATTCAAGCCTTGATCCGATTGGTGTCCTGGTAATGATGGTTTGGTGATCCGATTTGGGTCACCTTACTTGACTGCTACCAAAATAGCCCCTACCGGACAATTTTTCGTCAACATTTCGGACAATACACAACCATCTTTGTAATTAGCACCCTAGCGGCCCCCGCATTGCCTGTTTCGTTGAATTTGCTGTCA